AAAAGATGAATGGTCTATTCCTGCTCCCATTCCATGGATCTCTATACTGGAGCACAGCACATTAAAGCTTGGGTTTTCCTTTTAGCTTTTCAGTAATAGGGTGCATATCTGATTAAAATTAAAATGTAGATGTAAGCTGGTGATTAACAACGTAATTTATATGCTGTTTACACATGTAGCTGTTCATTTGCATGTTAAGGGGCTGTTTCAATGGTCCTTCAGGTGCTCATCTTGAGCAGCAGCTCTGCAGAATTGGGAGAGCAGAGCTTGTGCCAATTTCTAACTGGGCTGCAGCTCAATGCTTTCCTGTATTCAGTCGCCTGAAGAGCTTGTATACATTGTATGCTTCAGCCATGCTGAAAACTAAATCAGTTGCAAATATATTTAGATTAGTATCTAATAAAATGCCTTGATATTTTTGCACTATTTGCTCTTTTTCTCCCTGGTGCCCAGATTTGGAATGGGTGCCTAGGTACCTCCAGGCTGAAATTGCTTTTAAATTGCCATTATCAAGTTTTTATTTCAATATTACATTTCTTTAATGCAGTATGGCTTTCATTAGACCTCTTTCTATCTTTCTTGCATTTATATTAATATTTATCTACTACCCAGACCTTTGAAAATCATTCTCTAAAATTTCTTGAAAGAGGTTTAATTTTATAATGCATCAAATAAATTATTTTGTGGTTGTAGCAGTGAAGAAATTGATAGCAGGCAATTTAGGGAGAGAACTTGGCATGACCATCTGCCAATGATCGAGAACAAATGCTCATCTTGGTTTGGGTCCATCTGCAGCAAGTGCACCTGCTTTCCACATTCAACATATGGAGGTCATTGCCAATGGCTGGCAAGGTCCTCGCTGCCCACAACTGTTATTTTTATGATTAATTGCTGGCTAGAAGGCACAATGCTCGATAATGTGCTACCCACACATGGATCAAACAGGTAATTGAGTAATTGGTTGACATGGCTAGGATGCTCCCATTACCACTGAATAGCATGAGACAGATTGCCAGTGCCATAACTTTGCTCCTAAAGTACAAGGTCACTGATGATAGCCATTTGCCCAACCTGAAACCCTTTCTGTGTACCCATATGTGATCAAGTTCATGTTGTAATGCATTGTTATGTGAAGACCTTGGTAAATGTAAATTATTTGTTCCTTCTTCACCCTCCTTAAAGTTTAACTCTTTGTCCAAGCTTTTGTCGTCTATCCTAATGTCTCCTTGTTTGGTTCAGTGACAATCTTTTTCTCATCCTGTGAAGGGCCTTAGAATTTTTACTGTGTTACTGTCTTGTGACATGCAATCTTGTGTCTTCTGTCTGATGCATTGTACTGCTCACATCTTGCTATAGATGCCATATTAAGTCTACTTTCCAGATTGTTGTCCTCTGAAGATAGTCATTCGTAATTCCAGACAGAGGAACCTTCCTTGCAGTCAAAGAAGTGATGTCAGAGGCATTTTAACCTGAGTGTTCAGTAGAAATTATCAGTTTAATCTGCTCTCCTGCATATCCAGCAATGACCCCTGTCTCAAAGCCAATGTGGTCCTTCTCTACATAGGAGTACGGTTTTAACACCAGTTTGAGTGGAGAAGCCACTGCATATTGCTGTTGAATGAAAGCTTTTTAAGACCTGCTAGGAGGAAGCTGGAGAAAGCAAATTACTTTCGCTCCTTTATAGGATCATCCTTTATAACGAGAGTACTCAGGCCCTTCATGGATTCACATGGCACCAGGTTATGGTCCAACAGGTTTATTTGAAAACACAGACTTTCGGAGCTCTGAAAATAAACCTGTTGGACTATAACCTGGTGTGGTGTGATTTCTGACCTTGTCTACCCCAGTCCAACACCGGCACCTCCACATCATGCTCTTCATGGAAAGCTGGGCTGCTACACCACAGAGTCCTACACCTTTAGTTCCCGTCCCAAATGTGATGTGACCCTTGAACAAGTGCTGCCTCATTCCTTATATCAGTGCATTTTTTTTCTATTATTCATTCACAGGATGTGTGCATCGCTGACTAGGTCAATATTTATTGGCCATCCCTAATTGCCCAGAGGGCAGTTTCAAGTCAACTACATTGCTGTGAGTCTGGAGTCTCATGTAAATCAGACAAGATAAGGATGGCAGTTTCCTTCCCTAAAGGACATTAGTGAACCAGATGGGCTTTTCCCAACAATCAACAATAGTTTCATAGTCATCATTAGAACCTTAATTGAAGAGTTTTATTGAATTCAAATTCCACCATCTGCCATGGTGGGTTTTGAACTTGGGTCTCCAGAACTCTACATGGGTCTCTGGATTAACGATACCATTAGGTCATCACCTTCCCTCGGACTACAGATTTCATTATTTACACCATTTTCCTTCTTAGAATGGTGGAAACTTTGGCAGTTAAATAAGGTTCAAGAGTTTAAAAAAATGCCAGTTTCTAGTGCAGTGGACGAATTTCATACTCAGTTTACCATCAGTTTACCATCAGTTGCCACCTGCCTAAAACCCACCTCTTTGTCACTTTCCTATAGCCTGCTCACTTCTTCTCTTCCTCATCAGACAGCCCTGTTGAGGTATATTTGAGACTTCAAAAAGGATCCAATACTAATCATAACCAGATGAAGCCACTCATCTTAAATAGCTGGATATCTACAATTTTGTCTGTCCGTCTTTTAAGGAAAAAAAATTGCCCTTGATTTCCTGAGAATTCCCCTTTATCTAATTGCCTGTACAACATAAAGGAGTGTATTCATGTCATCAAGGATGGTATTCATGAGCAAATCTCTCAAAATCTGGAAGAGCAATTACTCAGCAATCGCAGGTCTTTAAAGAGTCAGCCATTAGGCACACTTACAAATAAATATCAAATTCAGTTATCAATTCTAGTTGTCAACCCAGTCCATAGATCCACTGCTGAAGTTCACGTACTC